AAATTGATGAGATTAAGAGGATCCTTTGTTATTGTTATGATCTACTCGTGTCATCATGCACACACCATAAGCAAATTATTAATTATAATTTCATATTTAGGTTATAGGCTGTTAACTCGATCGAGGAACAAATATTAATAGTTCAAGACAAATTCTGGTTGAGTAAGAGTTTATTCAAGTTATGCTGCTCTGGCATTGTAGTTGCGCAAGATAAAAAAAATTGTTTTCATAAATTGGATCACTGTGACGTTTCTTTTTACAAATGACGCAGCAAATATACCGTTTTATCTCCATGTTTATGTCTCTCTTGAAGACGGCATAAGCGAAGGGGTTAACAACGGAGTTTAATACAAGAAGAGGAATTTTATATTCTTTATCATCACACGGTTTTCCGTCTTTCAAAATGTGTATGAAGCTACATCGTATAGCGAATGTGAAGGCTAGAAGGAATATACCAATAACAATTGCCATTATTTGCACGGCAGCCTTTTCCTTGATTCTGAACAAAAATCTTTGGTTAAAGCGGAGTTGGTTTGCTAAGATGCGGGCGGCTCTTTCGTGCTTATAAACAACATAGTACATTGATCCAAAGCAGAATATTAACACACAAGACGGCAAGATTTCTAAAAATACCATTGAAATTGAGATGAGCACTTTAAACAACACAATCTCTTCAAAAATAAGCCAGTTTAGTAAAAACGCAAAGACGACAACAACTGGAATGGTCCAAGACATGAAAATCATCTGGAAAACGCTTCTGCGTGTCATAAAAGTCAAGTAACTTAACGGCCTCACGATAGCAATGTAGCGATCCAGGACTAAACTGCACAAGTTTGTCACAGACGCATATATAAACAGCCACCTGAAATAATCCACCCCGCTGGCTATGAAGGCCGTAGGGTCGCATCTGGTCATCTCCTCGCAGACGAAAAGCGGTGGAAAAGCACTCCAGCCAGCACAGAAGTCTGCCACTGCGAGAGAAACGACAAACGCGTTGGTTTTGTTTCGAAGCCGCCTCCTTCTGCAAACAAGGAAAATAATAAAGCCATTTCCAGTCATGGACAAGATGGAAAGAGACCAGCCAAGAATCCAAAACCACGTTTCCATTTTGTGGTCTTCAGGTGGCCAGCCCAATACAAATGAAAGCTGAGAGTATAAAGTTTGGGTTTGGACTACAAGACTACAATTCCCTATGCAACTAAAAAGCATTGGAAAACACTTCGTTGATTTTATGATGTCGTCTCCCTCAAACACATCGCAGTTGACAAATCAGCTTGAAATCCGGCCGCTCTTACCGTTAAGTTAACAGCCTCTAGTCCTTCAATGAAGTCAATGAATCAAAGGAAGGTAACTGATCACAAGAGAGGCACCCACGGGAGACTCATTCTAGTACACTTCTATTCTAATTGATGAAAATCGCACGATGTTCGTGGTGATATGAACCTTTTCCACGAGCAGTAAGAAACTAAATTATTGAAGATAGCTAAATATGGATTTTGACAACTTATCTCTGACAGCTTCAGCACATTGTCAGGTCTCCTTTTGTTGTCTTAAAATAAATATATGTTATTTGCCGGCTGGGAGGTCCGTATGGTGAAAAACTGTGACCGAGGTCTTAGTTTTTCACCATACGGACCGACCCTTAGCCGGTAAATAACATATTTGTTGTTTTTAAACTTGACGAAATTCTTTCCGAAAGAACCCGAATGACCTATGGCCGTAAATACGGCAAGATCTTCCATAAACTGAACAATTTTTGAGTGAGTAGATGGTAGTTAAAATAGAGGTGATGCAAATTTAAGAGAGATGCCTCGGCGAAACATTTTCATTTCCGTAACGATAAAGGTGATTTAAAAGGCTTCCAAACAAACTTTGAAACATTATTTTTACAAGTATTTGTCACAATCTGACACCTGTCAATTAGAGAGCGCGCAAGAAAAAAAAAATCGTGGGAACATTTGAAAACCAATAGAACTAGTTTGGCAAGGACTGTCACGACAATGTTTTCTTAAAAATCAGTTAATGATCTAACGGAAAGTATTATTTACTCTCATCGACCATTCATTCATGTACGAAGATTTACCTCTGTTCATTAAGTAAACGGCGAGGAAAGTAATTGTGAGTAAATTCAATTTTTTATTTTGAAGTTGTGAGAGTTTGCTCGTTTGTTTGCTGTAATGGCGTGTTTAACTCTGATCTTTCCTTCACAAAAACTAAATTCGAACGGCACACTCCAACGAGACACAAGGGAATTTAATGCAGCATTTTCTCAATTCCTTCAATTTCTGTTGTGCAATTTAAGGTGCAAATGTCCAAATTGAACGGAATTGAAAAGACTCACCAGGAGCGTATATTTGTTGTAGAACTTAAATTAAAACTTCGCTCGCTTTTTTTTTACTATGAACAAATTGCTCGAGAAAATTCAGATATTAAATGAATGAAAGTTCCATCGTTCAGTTTAACTGTAACCAAATACCTCACGTTTCAACTTTCTGGGTACTTTTTGTGAACGATTAAAATTAATTGCAGACGGTTTTTAGGCCGCTTGTCAACCAACGTAATGACACTATTGTTTATACAAATTCATTCTGAAACCAATATTTTTCTATCAACCACAGTGATTTGATAGAGAGAAAAGAGAGGATTCATAAGTTATTTATCGGCTTGAGGTAGTGACCGACGTGTTTGCTTAAAAATACTGCCCAGCCGGAAAACGAGGTATATTTATGAAAAATGACAACGAAAGTTGGGATGTACTCGGCGACTCACGAAAGCGTTACCGTGGCCCGTGGGCAGAGATAGGAAAATACTGACCGGGTAAAGAACCAATCAGATTGCAAGATTCGTTACCGTGCCCTCTAAAAAAGCAATAAAATGTCATAATATACAGACTAATTGCAAAAAACACTGTCAGAAAACAAGTAATAAAGTTTATTGAAAGCAGTAGTGCTGAAATGATGCTAACATTAACTGCTTTCTGTTTGGATGAAAACATCGCTCAAAAAAGTCAATTCCATAACGAAACGCTAATGCCCTAGCGAGCAAAAGCGCCCGGTATTCCGGCTATTTCTATATCAGTTCTTTGTAGTTGATTTTTGTTAGAAACTTGCTTCTCCTCAAAATAAGTGTAATTTCATAGTATTTTCGCTGATTGCTAAGTCTCAAAAATGCAATTTATTCAGCCGCTTCTTAACAATTCTTCAACCACCTTATCTATTTTTAGCGAGTCATATTTTCCTCCTTTAATTTTATAGATGGCTAAAGAAAGAGGGCAAAAGTTCCATTTTTGCCTTTCCACTGTCAAAAGCATCGAACAGTTAGTAAATCACCCGCTACATTCTTCGATATGGAGTAAAATCGTTGCATACCTCGTTTCATTACTTTCAACACGCTAACTAATTGAAAGATGAAACTTCCCTATGAAGACAGTTCACTTTGTTTTATTTGCATATAGCGACAAGTTATCATCAGTCGCATTTGGTTAAAACAAGTCTCTTCTCCTCTTTTAAACTTAGTGTTCGGTCACTTTATAGTGGGTTACACTTTAAATTATAGTTGTGAGCTTGATGATAAAATATTTCGTAAAATCTGTGGCGACAACACTAATCACAACGTTTTTAGACTCTACCTAAACGAGGCAAAGTATCTTCACCTACGCAAGTGTTTATCGATTTTTTCTCACCTGCCTTCTATACTGCATTATCTTTTGAAAACTCCAACGTTTTGATGCATTTTCACCAATCTTCCGCTTAGAATCACCCGACAATATCTGACCTACTTCTTTGCCATCTTTTTTAAAAGCTTCCTTCTCCATCTGTCCACACAGAAAACGGAACATTTCAAACGTGGTGCATTTTCAAAATACTCCACCAGTGTAACCTTTTCCGAATATCTACTTTGCATCTGCGTTATTTGGTGTTTAAGTGTGGATGACAAGCAAAATGCAATGGAAAAAGTAGACATTATCGAACGTCAGGTAAACACGCTAGTGTGGACGAGGCCTTTTCAAAACTGAGTTTCTCTCTATATCTAACAACTCTTTTTACCTCCTTCCTTATGTCCCTCTCAAGATCTCATTAGCAATTCTCCTTACTGTTTGTCATACAACTCATATGATGTCAGTTCTGAGAATTTGGTATTGAATCAACTAATACTCCCCTAGCTGATATTTTCTCTTATGTTCATCACCTTTCTGTTTGATATTGTATTGATTTGGTGAGGAGAAACGACAAGAAGGGGTATTTTATATTCCTGATCATCACACGGTTTTTCGTCGTCATTCAAAATGTAAATAAAGCTACATCGCAAAGCGAACGAGTAAGTTACAAGAAACAAACCAATCACAATTGCCATTATTTTCACAGCAGCCTTTTCCTTGATTCTGAGCAAAAATCTTTGGTTATAGCGGAGTTGTTTTGCCAAGATGCGGGCGGCTCTTTCGTGCTTGTAAACAATATAATACATTGATGCAAAGCAAAAAAATTAGACCGGAACACGGTAAGAATTCTAGAAAAACAATGGTAATCAGTGTCAACACTTTAAACAGCAGAATCTCTTTAAAAACAAGCCCGTTTAGTAAAAAAGCCAAGACCAAAATAACTGGAATGGTTCAAGAGATAACAAACATTTGGAGAACGCGTTTGCGCGTCATAAAAGTCAAGTAACTTAACGGCTTCACAACAGCAACGTGGCGCTCCAGGACTAAACCGCACAAGTTTGTAACCGAAGCGTACCCAAAGAGCCATCTTAGATAATCCATCCCACTCGCTAAGAAGGCCTTTGGGTTACATCCAATTATCTCTTCGCAGACGAAAAGCGGGGGAAAAGTACTGAGCCCAACACAGAAGTCCGCCGCTGCAAGAGAAACTATAAATGCGTTGGCTTTACGAAGCCGCCGTCTTCTGCTAACGAGGCAGATGATAAATCCATTTCCAGTTATGGTCAGAATGGATAGAGACCAGCCAAGAATCGAAAACCAAGTTTCCATTTTGTGGTTGTTGAGTGGAAAGCTGTGAGGATATACTTTCGCTGAGGACTTGAACTAATGTAAGAACAAACATTGAAAATATCTGGTGATTTTCTCTTGTTCGGAGGTCCCTCAAAAATACGTCACAATTGATTAATCAGGCTGAATTCTTGCCGCTCTTAGTGTTAGGTCAACCCACAATCCTCCATTCCAGATTTGGTAACTCAATGAACTAAAGGAAGGAAACTAATCATAGGAGAGGCACGTCGGAGGGAAAACACCCGTGTGTGCATCTGTGCTTATTGACCAAAACCGCACAAATAATCATGTCCGCAGTAACGTCAACCTTTCTCATTGACATTGAGAAATTTCTATCTTAAAATAACTAAATAAGAGTCTTGACAACCTATCTCTGACAGCTTGATAAAAAGGTAATAATATGAAGGCCGATGGCGAGATCACTGGCAGAGAAGACATAATGATGAAATGGTGATAACAAATTTTATAATGGAATTGTGAGACCGAAGGAGTTACGCACGCTATGTAATTTTTTTCTCCTCTTGCTTTTTTTGGCTTTGTTGTTGTTGTTGTTGTCGTTTTTTTCTCGAGACCTTAATGTTTGATTAGACAATAGTAACGTTCAGAAACATTCGGCGCTAGTCCAGTATTAAAGGTTTAGGATTAACGCAGTAATTCAAAAGTTGGTTGTTTGCCTGCAGGATAAAATTATTTCTTACTGTAAACCAGCTGATCTCAATTGACATCAAAACTAGAACTCACTTCTACTCACTCGCAATTTATTCCGGAAGAATACTCGATACATTTTCTTCATTTGTATCGTACACATACTCTGCTGAGTGAATCTCTGAAAATCTTTTTATTTCAATTTTTACTTTAAGTCCTCCTTGCACTTTTAAAAACATGCGCAAATTTAAATTAAGGCAAACTATTTCCATCCGTTAAATCTTACCAGAGTCATTTAGCATGAAGAGACAACTAGCTCATTCCTTTAACAACTATGTTGTTGCTCAGTCTTGTTTCTTGAAAAATGTAAAAACAGCTAATTAAAGTTCGCTTTTTCACCAAAGTAGCATTACTCATTTTTCAAAACAACTCTAAAATCTTTCTTAACCTAACTCTACTTTCTCAAAACTAATGAACAACCGCTAAGCGGTTAAACTTAGATTTAAAGGGAAAAAGAACAGTTCAAGATGGAAAAATAACGATGGCGTTAAACGACAAATTGGAGAATAAAGGTAGCCTCATTTTTAAGACAAACACTAATGAGGTGATTATGAAATATAGTATTACAAAAATTCGAAAATTTATCATCGTTGTCATCTGCAAGTGAGGTAAACAATGAATGCAAAGCTGGAAATATCAGGAGGAAGTTTATTACTTTCATGTTAAAAACAGCCCTCGATGGCTTAATGATCTACACAGGAAAAGAATCTGTTATTTAAAAATTTTAGCAAGGTTCGCAAAATGCGTCATTTAAAAAGTTTTCATGGGCAGTCGATAAAAAACCATTATACGCTCGCAAAACAATTATAGAGGGGTCAAAAAACATAGTACACCCTGACAGAAACATTAATTTTCTCTATTCACAGCGGTTTGGCGTGTTAGTGAATCGAATCTTATTCTTGAAATGTTTGGCGGTTGTCTTTAATCCAACGTCACGTTTTTTTTACAGTGCCACGAGCTTTTGGTTCGTGCTTCTCCGCACTCCTCTCGTGTTCTGTTCGCCAGGTCTTGGCACTCGTGGTGCTAAGACAATTTCTTCATGCCAAGTTACGGTGTGGTCACTGGTGAGGCTCAGTTTAAAAAGAAGGCAGGGCTACCAAGCTGGTTTTCAACGGTCGTGTTTGAAGGTTGATGTGTACGTGGCCTGTTAGAAACCTCTAAACTGGAAATTTTCGAAGCAAACTGCGGCACAGCGTTGGTCGCACAGGGAAGATTGAGTTTCTATTGAATTGAAATGAAACTGCAATATGTGTGCTTGGATTCTGCGTTGGATTTGTGGCCGCCCGGCCATTTTGCATTGGAATTTTTCGCTTCTCAGATCGGGCGTTCGGAAATGGAGTGTTCAGCCTTGGGCTTTTCTTATGTACGTTGAAAACCTCGAAATGGACAACTCGCTAAAATGGGTTCTTTTCATGAAAGTAAGCAGTCAGATAACAAGTGATACGCTGTGGAAGTAAGGTGAGATATTTTAATTGAGAATTTGACGTATTGTTTTATTCCTTAGAGCGGTCGTAAATATTCCCATAAAACTCTTATAATTCCGCATTAACTGTTATTGCGCAAGATGATCATCTCACAGCTGGAGCTTGGGCTGCCTGTGGTATAACAGTGGGTGCATGTCTAACAATGTAATCGAGCGTAATAGATGAAAATGTTCTGCATAAAATTTCATTTCTTAGGTAGACAAGACTCGTTCAAGGAAAATCTGTGACTTCATTCTTTAACGGCTCGAAACTTAAATAGGATTAACATATCATTTGTTTGAAAACCAAATCAACTTTTCGATTATCAGTGAACGCCTGGCTCTATGAGACCCGCCTGAATTAGTAGGGTACTGTTCAAGAGGTTATAAACTGTGATGTCGTGTAGGTTATCGTTAACAAGATTATCCTAAAGAACCAAACGACAAGAAAGCGGGAAATGGTCCATTTAAGTAGTCAAAGCCTAAGGAAACTTTCACTTTCAAGAAAACTCACTTTTTCATCGCTTATTGCAGTGCTTGCTGACTTCGTTTATCTACGTCGCGAAATAGTCGTTCTTCTTTCACTACTCTGACCGACAGACTGATTGTATGACTGACTGACTGACCGACCGACTGACTGACTGGGTGAATTCTCTGACTGATTAACCAATTGAATGGCTGACTGACTGATTGGCTGAATTCACTGACCAATTGACTGATTGAATGACCGATTGACTGAGAAGCTGAATGCTCAGACTAAGGACTGACTGAGTGGCTGGCTTAATACTCTGACCGACTGAATGATCTTATGACCGACTGAATGATCGGATGACCGACTGAGTGATTGAATGATTGGCTGAATGATCGAATGACCGGCTTTATGATCGCCGGATGATCGACTGAATGATCGGATGACCGACTGAATACCTTGATCGACTAAATGATCGGATGACCGACTGAATACCCTGATCGACTGAATGATCGGATGATTGACTGAATGATCGAATGACCGGCTTTATGATCGCCGGATGATCGACTGAATGATCGGATGACCGACTGAATACCTTGATCGACTAAATGATCGGATGACCGACTGAATACCCTGATCGACTGAATGATCGGATGATTGACTGAATGATCGAATGACCGACTGAATGATCGAATGATTGACTGAATGATCGGATGACCGACCCAATGATCGCCGAATGACCGACTCAATGATCGGATGACCAACTAAATAATTGAATGACCGACTCAATGATAGAATGGCCGGCTGAATGATCGGATGACTGACTGAATACCCTGATCGACTGAATGATCGGATGACCGACTGAATGATCGGATGACCGACTGAATGATCGGATGACCGTCTGAATGATCGGATGACCGACTGAACGATTGGATGAACGACTGAATACCCTGATCGACTGAATGATCGAATGACCGACTGAATGATCGGATGACCGACTGAATACCCTGATTGACTGACCGACTGACTGACTGACTGACTAGCTGACAGAATATGCTGACCAACTAGCTAAATGACTGAACACTGACTTACTGATCAACTGATTGACTGACTTACTGGGTCACTGAATACGCTGACCAATTAAATGACTTAACACTGACTAATACTGATCAACTGATTGCCCCGACAATTGACTTCAAACTGACTGTCTTATTGACTGAAAGACGTACTGAAAACTGACTGACTGACTGTCTGAAGGACTGAGAGACTGACAACTGACTGACTGACAGACTTAGTTGACTGATGGACTAGGTAACTTACGAAATGACTGAAAACTGACTGGCCGATTGACAAACTGACTGGCTGACTGATAGACTGATTTGCAAACCTATAAAATGAAACAGACTGGCAAAATTAGACAAAAGTAACCTTAACAGTTAAAAATGAACCAAAAGGAACGAGAATCGATAAAACTTGATGAGATTAACAGGATCCTTTTTTATTGTTATGATCTACTCTTGTCATCATGCACACACCATAAGCAAATTCTTAATTATAATTTCATACTTAAGTTATTGCCTGTTAACCCGATCGCGGAACAAATATTAATAGTTCACGACAAATTCTGGTTGATTAGGAGTTTATTCAGGGTATGCTGCTCTGGTTTGACGCGTTAAATATTGTAGTTGCGCAGGATGAAAGAGTTGTTTTCATAAATTGGATCACTGTGGTGTTTCTTTTTACAAATGACGCAGCAAATATACCGTTTTATCTCCATGTTTATGTCTCTCTTGAAGACGGCATAAGCGAAGGGGTTAACAACGGAGTTTAATACAAGAAGGGGAATTTTATATTCTTTATCATCACACGGTTTTCCGTCTTTCAAAATGTATATGAAGCTACATCGTATAGCGAATGAGAAGGCGAGAAGGAATATACCAATAACAATTGCCATTATTTTCACAGCAGCCTTTTCCTTGATTCTGAACAAAAATCTTTGGTTAAAGCGGAGTTGGTTTGCTAAGATGCGGGCGGCTCTTTCGTGCTTATAAACAACATAGTACATTGATCCAAAGCAGAATATTAACACACAAGACGGCAAGATTTCTAAAAATATCATTGAAATTGAGATGAGCACTTTAAACAACACAATCTCTTCAAAAACAAGCCAGTTTAGTAAAAACGCAAAGACGACAACAACTGGAATAGTCCAAGACATGAAAATCATCTGGAAAACGCTTCTGCGTGTCATAAAAGTCAAGTAACTTAACGGCCTCACAATAGCAATGTAGCGATCTAGGACTAAATTGCACAAGTTTGTCACAGACGCATACATAAACAGCCACCTTAAAAATTCCAC